TCCCTGTTTTCATGGTGCTTCTACTCTTGACGGAGAGACAGACAAACAGGGTGTAAATAAACCATTTTAGCAGGTGGTAGAGTGTTTACCAAATCTAGCTGTGATCTGCAAGTTTGGCAGTTCGAAACCACCCGCTGGACCACCCGCAGTCCACTGGACAAAGACAAGGCTTTCTACTCCCATTAAGAATTACAATTTCATCTGCCTGGTTCTTCCCTGTATCCCTTGGGCCTGGGACAGGGCCGGCATGTGGTAGGTGCTCAGTTAGTATCTGTTGAATGGATTTCAGCACTGATCAGCTGCATAAACTATCAAGGAGCAGGTAACCACAGTGTACTTGCCACGGCATGCACACACACATCAATAAATAAAAGCAGTAAAAATGAGATCTCTTTTTTTATTCTCTATCCAATTGGAAAGAAAACTAGGCCAGTGGTCATGTTGGTGAGGACAGTAGGAGATGGGCACTCTCATTTGCAGCTGGTAGAAATAGAAAATGGTCTAAGCTTTCCTGAGTGGTGAGTCATGGGGGGGATATTTATTTATCTCAGGGTTTGTGATCAGTTGTCCAGCCTTGTCTGTCTCTGAAGTGTGTTGACACTGAATCCCGGGTCAGGTCTCCCTGGAGTGAAGCGATGCCATTTGTTGGGAAACGGGTGCCTAGTGTTCCCCTTGTTCTGAGGTCTGGGCTGGGTTTGTCAGCCCACAGGAAGCATTGCTGACGGAAACATCCGGCGAAGGCGGGATCTGACTACCCTTCCTGCACAGAGGGGTCTGACATTTCTTGGCAGATACCCTGCCCCACTCCCTCCCTACTTGAGGTTGAATCAGAAGCAATAATAATCACAACCACACTTTCCCTCTTCCTTCTGCTGTACACACACACACACACACACACACACACACACACACACACGGGTCTGGGCCAGCAAAAGTGGGGTTTGTAACTGAATGGCTCAGCCAAGAGCACAGGTTGTAGCTCCCCAGTTTCTTTTCTGGAGGTGCCTGGGTAGTTTGACATCACACTTCCTTTCAGAACTTCGTGGACTTGGTACTTTAGTTTTAGAAAACCCACATACCCACAGATCCTGGGCTCCTGGCCCCCGGGGAGGCCAGATCTACGCTGCCTCCGCTTCTTTCATCTGCTGACGGTTTGCACAGCCTCCTTCCAGAATCTGCCGGTCGGTGTCGGCTGTTTTGAGTGGCACCGGGTGCTGAGGATTGGGGCTGGCTCTGGACATGGCTTCCCCAGCATTTTCAGAGAGCAGGGGTGGCTTGGTGGCAGCGTGCTCCCCTTCCGTGCAGAGGAGCCTGGCTCAGTTCCTGGCCAGCACAGCTCATGTGCAGCCACCACCTGTCCGTCAGTGGAGGCTTTTGTCTTGCTGTGGCGCCGAATGGTGTCAGCTGAATTTCAGAACTGGTCATTGGGTTCTGAAAAAGTCAGCCATCGAAAAGTCCATGGACCACCATGAGCTGACCCGCAGGATGGGGGGTGTGCTTTGTTCCTGTGTGCATGGGGTCTCCACTCATCAACCACAAACAACAGTTTTGTGGGCAGACAGAATTCCAAGCGCAGGGGCGTGGTGAAGAGGTGAGAGGGGTGGATTTAAACTACCTGGGCTTCTGCTTGGACGCTGTTGTTTTTTCCTCACAGAGCAGGGAAGGAGGGGAGCAACTGACTGCTGGGTTTTTGGGGGGGCAGGCACCAGTGAACCCCCCCCTCCATCAGGGTGACTATGCACGGACTGACGATGTAGTCCCCATCTGCATGCAGTGTAGAGGAAGTGCCAGGGCAGAGGTAGGCTGTGGTTCTGTGGCCAAATCCTCTCCAGCACCAGAAGACGTGGGTTTGGTCCCCAGGCGAAGCTCTTTATACACTCAGTGGAGACTTGCGTGCTGTTGGGGTGCTGGACGGGTTTCGGCGAGGCTTCCAGACTAAGACAGACTAGGAAGAAAGACTTGGACTTCCGCTGGTGAAACCACGGCCCAGTCCACAAGCCCCGATGGGGATGGCACCAGACAGGCTGTCTCTTGAGTGTGCGGTGGGGGCCCAGGGGCCGACTCGGCAGCAGTAACAGGATGAGCATGGGTGGGCTCTGGTCCCTTGCACCATTAGAGGGATGTGCAAGCAAGGGGGGTGCAGGGAAACAGCCCCTCTCAGCCTAGCGGGCTCTGCTTTGGATCAGAACCCTCCCCGCTGTGCTTTCGGGCTGTCCAGTTTATCGACCCGAGGGGCTCCACAGCACTCTGCCAGTCATCCGATTTGGACCTGACCACCTGCCTTCACCTTTCTCTTCCTACAGCTGAAGCTTTGGAACAAATACCGAATTTCCAACATTCCATCGCTAATATTCCTAGACGCCACCACGGGGAAGGTCGTGTGCAGGAATGGGCTGCTGGTGATCCGGGACGACCCAGAAGGTAGAGCCTTGGCTGCCCTTCCTCTGCTCCCATCCCCACCCCTTCCAGCTCCTCTCCCTGAAACGCAAGTCAGTGGGTGCGCTCGCCTCCAGACCAGTCTGGCCTTAATGAGCTGATAGTCGTCTCTGGATCAGGGTTGTGACCTTGAAACCAGCCAGGATGCTCCCTTTGGGATCTGTGATGCATCGGCCAATGGAGACAGAGTCATGGGGGAAAGGTGGTTTTGCTTGGAGGGCGTGGGAGGCCGTTGTGCCGCTGCTGAGAGCCTGGGTCCCCTGTGGCTGGGCCGTCTATTCCAAGTCATAGCCACCCGGCTGACCCTTCCGTGGCCTTCCACCGCTGACCCTTACAGAGCCGCTGAAGGGTTCAGCCTGCGAACCTGCCCCATAGTGACCGCCAGAGCGGCTCAGGAGTCCCTTGGTGCCCTTTGGCTTTCCTCCACTTCTGCCCTGTCCTTTTCATAGCTTGGATGAGACTGGGTTTGGGACCCAGCCTGCTGGGGTGTGACTTCATTAATAGAACAAAAGAACACCCCCCCCAGCAGCCCTCCCCCTCGGAGTCATTTTTGACTCATAGCAACCCCATGAGACGGAACAGATCGGCTCTCTAGTGTTTTGGGGGGCAGACAGCTTCATCTTTCTCTACCGAGGTTAGGGTCTCAACACATAGTTGAGGGGGTCTCCGCTCAAACGTTCATCAGCGTCAGAGCAAGCTAATGAAGTTGGTTTCTGTTTTCGTCTCTGGCTTCAGCAGTGAATGCCACCCCCGGTTCTCGGGGCTGCCCAGGTTCTGGGGCCCTGGCCTTGCTGGCCGTGCTTGGTCTGGGCTGCGACAGTCCCCCTGTACAGCAGCGGCTCGGCGTCTGCTGCATCTCCCTTGCCCTGGAGTGACGGGGAGTTGGAAGACCACTGTCTTCTTGTTCCAATTAAAGGGCTCAGACACATGGCCTGTAAAACTGCACCTGCTTCAAATCATTGCCACCTTCAGGTCACGGGAGAATGCCCGCTGGGACCAGGTCTTTCTCTCCTCGAGCACACATGCACAAAATACCTCACACCGAAGAGTATTCAAAATGCAGATGCTTGGCCTAGCCCCCTCGCCCCTCAAGGATTTCAGCTCTGGTTGTTCAGGGTGGGCTCGGGCAGCTGCATTGGCAGCTCTCTCTGCTTCTACCCCAACCCCACCTCCCCAGGCAACTTGGAGGCAGTGGCCCGAGGACCAGCCTGTTGGAGGATGCCGGTCTCTGTAGAGCCTGGAACGTGCTGACCCGTCTTCCCGGGGCACCAGCCCCAGCAGAATCCGGGTGTTACTCCCTCCTTTCTCATTCGTCTTAAAATTAAGAAAACCAGTCTTTACAGTGACCCTGTGAGATAGGGCAGAACTGCCCTGGGAGTAGACGTCATCTTCCTCCCACGGAGTGGCTGGTGGTTTCAAACTGCTGACTCTGCCCCTAGCAGCCCATCCCGTAACCACTGTACCACCAGTCCCCAAAGCCCTTATCAGTCTCCCAGTCTTACTCAGTTCCCTGAGCCCAACCCCCGACCAGCTTCAACAGACATCATCAGCCCTGCTGATTCTTGGGGGTCAAATGACCCTTTCACAGGGGTTGCCTAAGACCATCGGCACACACGTATTTCCGATGGTCTTAGGAACAGAGATACCACTCCTCTAGCCTTCTCCCGGCGGGTCCGCCCACAAGCACATATGCTAATCTGGTGAAAAAGAAGCTGTATCAACCTTCTCACTGACGTTGGCTTTTTATGCATACTGTCGAAAAATGTAGCAATGTAGTTTACTCTTGTTATATTAAGACTGTTACCCGTGCTACACCATGCTTCAAGACAAAATGGCATTTATTTGTCATTAGAAATAAATATTTCACAATCTATAATTACACATTGTTTTGTGACTAATCACTATGCTTTAATGATGTTCAATTTGTAACAATGAAAATACATCCTGCATATCAGATAGTTACATGACGATTCGTAACAGTAACAAAATTATAGTTTTGAAGTAGCAACGAAAATAATTTTATGGTTGGGGGGAGTCACCCCTACATGAGGAACTATATTAGAGGGTTGTAGCATTCGGAAGGTAGAGAACCGCTGCTCTGAGGCCTCCCGAGATAGGAAGCCCTGAGCCTTCCGGGGCTGGGGTTGGTACACTCGTGGTGAGTGCCCAGGACTGTGCTTCTCGAACCTGGCCCGTCATCTGAGTGACCCGGAGGTTATTGGTAATGGAGCAGATAGTCACCCCACTGTTTTAAATGAAGAGCTCGGTGGTCGTTTAGTGCACACACCACCTCTCCCTGGTTCTTTTTTTTTTATTGGGAGCTCATACAGTTCTTATCACAATAAATACAACCACCCATTGTGTCAAACACTCCCTTCTTCTAAATACTTCTCATCCCCTAAAAGGAACCTCTGCCTGCCTGCCCCCAGCCCCTGGTAGCCTCTCGTCTACCCTCAGCCTCTGAGCATCTGCCTGCTCTAGCCCCTTCCTGGAAGTGGATCACATCACACTTGCTTGGCCTTTCACACCGCGTGTGTTCCCGAGATTCATTCGTGCCTTTTCCTGTCCCGGTAGTATTCCACGGCGTGGACACCCAAAACCAAACCCACTGCCACCGAGTCGGTCCCAACTCACATTGGTCTTATCTAAAGGGTGTCTGGAGCTGTAAAGTTTCTATGCGATGCAAACAGCTTCATCTTTCTCCCTCAGAGCAGCTAGTGGGCTTGAACTGCACAGCAGTCTAACCTTGACCTGACAGCACCACCGGGGCTCTGATAGCATGTGGCTAGACCACTGTACGGAACTGCAGGGAGAGGAGGACTCGCCATCATGGTGAAGCTGACCCCGCTGAGGTGGAGGGCGGCAGACATATCTCCACTCTGCAGCTTCCTCGCCATTCCTGACACCGGCTGTGTCCCCCCACCTCCACCCCCACCCCCAGCACTACTCTCTACCTCTTTGCTGAGCTGGAGCATCCGTTGGAGTGGTGGCACAGAACGCACACACTCCTGCTACACCAGCAGTCTGTTAGAGAGACGCAGCAGGGTTTGGTTTGGGATCAGGATCGGGAAGCACGCAGGGAGTGTCTGGGAGGTTCCCCCAAGGAGAAGAGCACCTGTCCCCCTTCCTCAATGCAGGATGGAAGTGATGGCACCCCGTGGACACACAAGCAAGCAGGCCCTCTGCTCATTACCGTGTAGGACCCCTCTCAGCTGTGCAGGCCCCAGGACAGATCTCTCTGTCTTTGCCCTCCCTCCCATCAGCCTCTCGCTGCCAACTGACCCTGTTCACAGCCAGGACAAGTCCTTCGGCTTTCTTAGTGGCGTGCCTAGCAGCAAGGTTCTGCCAGGGTCAACGGGCCTCTCCCTGTCTTCAGGGTTGCCCAGGTTAGCCGGTGGCACAGCTCTCCTGGGAAGTCCCTACCCTCCTTGCTCTCTGTACCTCTTCTCCTTCCCCCTTCTGTTCTTCTTTCGGAAACCTCCCCGGGGTGGGCTGTGTGCACTCCAGGAAGCAAATGCCTCACCAGTCCCAAGGCCAGGAGCTGAGCACGCTGCGTCTGCCCAGGCTGGGGGTTGATCACCCAGAGAATTGGTAGGACTCTGCCCCTGGGAATCTCCTTGTGGAAGCTGCAGGCACTGTACTAAACGATGCTGTGCCAGCAGACACTACTGTCCCAGGACAACGCAGGCCTGGCCCGGCCGTCTGGGGTGGAGACCACGATGAAGAATCTGAACGCCCTCAACCCTCTGTCGCCCGTGTCCAGGTCTGGAGTTCCCCTGGGGACCTAAACCCTTCAGAGAAGTCATTGCAGGGCCCTTGCTGAGAAACGGCGGGCAGTCCGTGGAGAGCAGCAGCCTGGAGGGCTCCCACGTGGGGGTCTATTTCTCTGCACACTGGGTGAGTGAGTGATGGCCCCCTTGACGTTGTCACCAAGACTGGCAGCGGTCACCTCCTGGAGGGGTGACTGCCCAGGCCCCAATGCCGGTGTCACTGCCTTCTCCTGTGCCCGCTGCCTCCGGCCCACCCAGGGTGCTCATTATCAGTGATCACAGCTGTGGGAACTTTATTTTGGGTTGCTCTGAAGGCTGTTTCTAAGGGAAAGCGTCTAAAGGCCCCGACGGGGTTTCCCTTCAGTCATTAGCTGCTGGTAGCCGCCTGGCGTCGGGAGGAACTTAGGCTGGCCGCTTACCGCGGAGGGGAAAGTTGGTTTCCGCCTCTTTTATAAACGGCGAACATTCTGCTGGTCTTGCTCACCTGGTCTCCAGTGGGGCCTGGCTGGGAAGGAGGGAGCAGCAGGTGCTTCATGCCGCAGGGGCCCGCTCTGGTCTTTCAGTGCCCACCCTGCCGAAGCCTGACACGGGTCCTGGTGGAGTCCTACTGGAAGATCAAGGAGGCAGGCCAGACCTTTGAGATCATCTTTGTGAGCGCAGACAGGTAAGGTTTTCCTCTGGGAAAGCAGGCCGGCCAGGGCCACTGCCTCTCCTGCCCCCCGGGTGACACCCACGACCGCGTTCTCCTCCCAGGCTTGGGGGTGGTGGCAGGAGTGCGAAGGCTCCTCTGGGACTGGGCTAGAGGGACTGCTACCTGCCGCGTGCACGGCTGCCTTCTTCTGACGGGACGCTCAGAGGAGCCGGCCCTTGCTAGAGGTAGCGGGTCCACGCTGGGAGGTTGAAGAACAAGGGTGCATTTTCCCGACGGGACCAGTGTTCTGCACGGTGATAAAAGTATGTGAAGGAGGGAGGGTGGGAAAGGGCCGGAAAGGAGAGGACAATGACACCCATCTCTTTTTTTCAGTTAGGGCCATGGGCTCTGTCTGGGGGCTGCTAGATTGCACATGGATAAGGGGGCAGAGAACAAGAAGGGCCGTCTTCCTGGAGTCAGTCTGCCCTTCCAGCCACAGTTGCCCCCTCGCTGGTGGTCCTCCCCGGTGAGCTCCCCTCACCTCAGATGGCCAGCCCTGATTCAGACCCAGCCCCGGACTGAGGCTCCTCCTCTCCTGCCGGCCAGCCCCATGTGTGTCTGTGCCGGGCCATGTGCATGCAGCACACCTCATCAGTGACATGGTCCTGGCACGGTCCCTAAGATGCCAACAGAGTGAGGGCATTTGGGGCATGGCGTGTTCTTGGTGCCTGACCCTTCCAGGGCTCTGGGTGGCCCGTGGCCTGAGTTGCTGCCCGCCAGCTCTGCCGCTTGGTGGATGGGAGAGCGGGCAAGTGGGAAGGCATGCGTCGGCAACAGCCACTCTTGAAGGCTTCCCCCCCCCCCTTTCTTTTAAGTCAACTTTTCGTGGAGACACGATTTTGCACAAAAGTTTTACATGTTTTTTACACAGATGTACAAAACAACGTCAAAAGATAATGGAATTTTCCCACGAACTTTCTAAAGCCCCCTCATGCATATGTGGGGGTTGAATGGTTCCCTTGGGCCCCTGCTCGATCAGTCCCTACCCCCAGGCAGCCACTGATCTGTGATCTGTGACCAGATTAGATTTGTTTTTTGGGGGTGGGATCATACCATTTATGTTTGGGTACATGCAGGTGTGGGCCAGCACCCCTCAGTGTTGCAGATCAGAAGTACCTCGGGCAATGTGTCTTTGTGTCCATCTGGGCTCCTTAGGAAAGGAAGGCCTGCCCAGGTGAAACAGGACAGGGCACACGTATGTGCCCTGGGTGGGCTGGAGGTGAGGGTGGGGCTGGGAAGTGGCCCAGCATCTGGGTTTGAGAGCCACCTGTGTTGTGTGGAGGTCTTCCCTCCTGGACAAGACCCAGACAGAGGGAACAGCCCGCTTACACATCCTGGGGCCTGAGGAGCGTGGTGGTTAGGAATTCCAGCGTTTCAGTGTCCAGCTCCCACACAGCCGGGTGGAAGGTGGGGTGGGGGCTGTGGGGCTGAAAGCCTTGTTCTCTCCGTAGGTCAGAAGAGTCCTTCAAGCAGTACTTCAGCGAGATGCCCTGGCTCGCCGTCCCCTACACCGACGAGGCCCGGCGGTCGCGCCTCAACCGGCTGTACGGAATCCAAGGTAGGCACCCCGACCTACTGGGCCCCCGCTGCTCCGGCTTCTCTTTTAGAAGCCAAACGCAGGGAGTATCTCTACGTCCATGAGCACTCACCTCTCCCACCCGCTTCAAAGTGACCCGAGGTGAAGTTCATGGTGTGTAATTTTTACTTCAATAACAAAGCGCCTGTCCTGGTGGGATGGCTACTTCGTCGCCCTGCATAATGGTTAGGCCATGAAGCAGAAACCCCACATGCCCTGGGGGGCATCATAGGCTAGGACTCCCTGTAAGGTGTTACCGTCAGACAGTCCTGGGTTTGGTCTTGGGCTCCACCTCACAGTCTCTGGGCCTCGGTTCCCTCATCTGCACATGGGGGAGACTGCGCCCCTGCCTCAGACGCTGGCTGGGTGCGCTCCTTGGAGAAGGCAGACAACGTGCTCATCACGGCTCGGACGCTGACAGGGAGGCCTTGAGTGGATCCGAGGTGAGAAAATGGACTTGCTGAGGGTGTTGGCAGTTACACCGTGAAGTACTGATAAGCCTGGTGTTGCTCAGAAGCGATGATTCTTAATGAGACAAGCTGGGGTTCTCTTGGCGGTCATGCAAAAGCTCCCTGCCCGGCCTGCACCCAGCCAGGCGCTCCGTGGTGAAGCCCTGAAGCTGCCTGCGTGAAGAAAGCCCGGCTCCTTTCCATCAAGAGTGCCGGCTTCCGGCAGCCCCCAGCAGATGCGCCGTGCCCTTCCTCGTCTGAGAAGCGTGGGTTCTCCACCTCGGTCAGGTTAGCAGTCCTGGGGCACTCCAGGACTGGAGCCTTGGCGGCATCGTGGGCATGTGCCGGGCTGCTAATCCCATGACCTGCAGTTTGAAACCACGAGCTCCTCCATGGGGCAAAGAGGAGACTTTCTACCCATCTGAAGAGTTTGTCTGGGCCCCTCCGGAGGCAGGTCCACCCTGCCTTACAGGGTTGCTGTGAGCAGCCAGGGACTGGATGGCCAGGAGTTGCAGCACACCTGGATTTCCCATTTCACCCCAACAGGCATCTCTGCTGTGTACCGCCCTCAGGCTCTCCTTACCAAGGCTTCTCAGTCGCGCTCTGGCCTCTCCCGTCTGCCCGCCACCCCTGCCCAGGCTCTGGGTGTGTTTGCGTTAGACTGAGCACAGGGCACACCTTACCAGAAGCTTGGGAGGCATCTTAGGAGTACAGGCCAAGACGAAAGTCCACGGCCTTACCCAGCCCAGCCTCAGCATTCCCTGCTGCCTCTTCCTACCCTCAGTGAACACCGCCGCCCTCGTCCAAGCCACAGGCACCCAGCCCTGGTCGTCTACCTTTTATGAAGCCCTGGGTTTCTCAGTAAAATTAAGAGGCTTCAACTTTACAGGCTACAGTGAAGATTCACTAAACAGTAATACACTCACTGCCATCGGGCCAGTGTCCACTCACAGTGACCCTGTGGGCAGCGTGGAGCCCTGCGCACTCCTGAGACGGTCATTCTTCACAGCGGAGGAAAGCCTGTCTTTCTCCCAAGGAGCGCTGGTGGTTTCGGACTGCTGACCTCTCACCGTTAGCAGTCCAACCACAACCTCCGTGCCACCAGTGGCTCCTTCTGTGACGATGAAGGGACTGTTGTTTTTCAAATGATAATGTTATTGCCACTCTAGGGTCCTTACAAATCTCTGACTGTAGGAATTGATTCTCAGGACACAGCGCCTCACCACCTGGTACATCCCCTCCAGTTCCCAACCCCAGACACCTGCTGCCGACCCAGGTGTCCAAGTGCCGACCTTGTGGTTCTGAAGCCCAACGCGCA